GGTGTCAGGAGCGGCGGCGGCGGCGCGGCGGGCGGACTTCGTCCCTCCGCCAGCTCCCTCCTGCACCGGAGCAGGCACTCCTTCCTTCGCCATCCCCCGACCCTTCACCCCGGGGACTGGGCTCCTCCTCCGGCGCAGCTCAGGGAGCGGGGGCCGGTCTCCTGCTCGGCTGTCGCGCCTCCATGTCGGATAACCAGAGCTGGAACTCGTCAGGCTCGGAGGAGGATCCGGAGACGGAGTCCGGACCGCCCGTGGAGCGCTGCGGGGTCCTCAGCAAGGTGAGCCACCCGCGCAGCGGAGAGCCCCATGCTCAGACTCACCTGCCGCGCGCGAGACGAGCCGCTGAGGACTTGGGGTGGGGCTGGGCGGGAGACACGGACCGTCCCGGGGCGGGGGCTGCGGAATGTGCTGGGGTGTGGGGCTGAGTTCTGCCGCAGGAGTGCCCGGGCCAGGGCCGAGGTGGGGGTGGGGGCAGAAGGGGACTGTCTTCCTCGCCCGCCCTGGGGCTCGGCGGCCTAGGACTAGGGAAAACGTGTCCCAATCTCTGATCCAGTTTGGGAGCGGGATGCGCAGCATGTCTTGAGACCCAGGCCGGCAGCTGTCCCGGGTATAGGAATTTGGGGTGGGCAACAGCCGTATCCAAAGGATTGGATATGAGAACGATGCAAGTCAGACCTCTCAAACAAGCTTATTGCGGAGGTGCCAAGCAAAGTAGACTTGGGGGTTTTCTGCAGACGAGGCTGTTTAGACGGAAGCCTTGTTGCTTGGTGCCGAAGTCCGAGGTGGTAAACGGTGCCCGGTTAGATGCAGTGAGAGATCTCAATGAGGAGGACTTTTGTACTTTCCCCCTCACCCTTTACCCAGTTCGGAGAGGAGCTATTGAATCGGCAGGTGATAGGTACAAGAAATATTCGTAGTGACTTGGAACATGTCAGAATGGAGACGACCTTTAGTCCGGGAAGAAGAGCGTTATTTAACAGTAAAATGTTCTTGCAGTCAGTGGGCCAGAGTAAGGAAAAGACATCTTACTTTTCCTGTATTTTTAAAAACAAAATACGTCCCTTTTCCAAAATTTTTGTAAAGCAGATAGTTGTATAATTTGAAAGCTAATTAGTTAAAACGGATGAGGCCCTTTTAAAGAGAAAAGGTAGGTAATCTTTTCTTTGGTTAGTATATGGTTTGGGGTTTGTTGCTGGGGTTTCCCCCCCCCCAAGTTTTTTGCTATGGGAAGATCCACATTGCCTTTTTTTACTTCCTTCTCTCTTCCTGTTAAACTTTCAGAAATGGCTGGACCTAGCAGTTAACTTAGAGAGGGAGAGCAGGGGCCAGTCTCTCAACAAGCTGGTCATAAGATACTAGGTCATGTGCAGCCACTGGCTGTTAAGAAATCACGCTGCTTCCAATATACATACTTGGCTAAGCGTTTAGACATCGTTTGTGGAATCATTTAATATTAGGCTTTTATATTGTCTTGAGAAGGCTGAGAAAGGACCTAGGAAAAACATTTGTATGTCGGGAGTAAAGCTTTTTCTGTATGCAAATAAAAGTTACAGCATGTGTTGTTATTGGGATCATTATTGGAATTTAAGTGAGAAGTTTTCAGTAAAGTGAAGCTCCCTAGGGTTTCTTTAGATTAAATGTATCTTGTAATTTAGGACTCTGTATTGAACACGCTGTAATAGATATACGTCTTCTTTTGAAATTGTTATGAAATGGCCTCTGCACAGTGATTCTGATAATTTTATCACTTTTTTCTCATTAAAAGAGAAGCATACTTCAAATTACTATTGTAGTGGTGTTAAGTATTTTACAAAACAAGCTGTACTTTTGAACTGTTGATCATGACTTTTTTGGAGGTAGCGGAATTGGAGTGACTGGTAGAGTCACCTGTGCTCTGAGTATGCACTGGATCTGAGTTGCACAGTATGCAGAGCAGTGTAGTAGGTGTATACTTTGTGACAAAAAATAGAGTGTCTCCTTGGTGTTTAAGTGCATGGAAGTGTAGTATCTGACCACTTCTGTGGTGGGTAAGTAACTTCAATGTTGCTGCATACATAGACTCAACAGGGATGTAGGTTTTGGTATTCTTATTAACAGCTATGAAGGAACTTCCCTGAAATTTAACAATTTGTGGTTACATATAATGTTTTTTGGAAGCTTTTTAATCAAGAATATTTTATATTGAGTGCATATTTTAAAATTTAAATTACATATATATTTTGAGCCTTTGCATTCACCTGATAATTTAAACAAGAGTTAGAACTCAGCATTTGTTCTTTTCCTTCTGTTAAGTAATGTACTTAAGTCCCAATACTAACTTGTCCTGTTCCCTCCACCCCTACTCCGCAAGTGGAGTGAATTTGGAATGGTGCACTGGGAGGTAAACTTATATTAGAAATATACCAGCCCAAAGTTTCTTATTATATATAGCCTATTTTCTACAGACTTGCTTCTTAGGCATATAGGTTCCAAAAATACTGGATAGACAATAATTGTAGGTGGTTTTAACAACTATCAGGATGATTGTGGATGGGAAAAGATTCATGCCTTAGTAGGACTTGAGAGCAGCTAAGCCTGGATAAAATAAATCTCATTCAGTTTCTTCTGGATTCCCTCCATCTTTTTACCTTATCTTTTTCTCCACACACCTAACTATTGGCTGAAATTCTATCCATCTCAAGAGTCCATCTCAACTGTTCTTTCCTTGAAGCCTTTTCTTATTTTCCAATTATACCAGAGCTCCTTCCCTTGAATTCCTATAGTGTTTTATTAGTAACTTGCTTCTGACTCTTACTATAAATGCATTTTTTTTCTCTTGAATTTATGCTTGCTGGACTGTTGGGAGCAGGAATTTTTGATTCTCCTGCAGTGTCTACAAATTGCCTTGTCTCTGTTAAAAGTAGAAGAGTGAGGGAATGTCATGAGGGTAGAGAAAGGCAAAAATCTGTCTACTGACCGTGAATGGGAGTTCATATTTTCTGAGTAAAGGGTCCTGAAGTTTATATAATTTATTGGGTTCTGTATAAGAAAGAAATATAAAATTATAGACACAATTGCTGGAGCCCCTTCTATCACTCTGGATGGAGTCTGTTCAAGTGAGCATTGCTGAAGATTTCTAAGCTTCATTAGCTATGCATAACTCTGCCTCTAACAGAAAATACTGCATGCCTCGCAGTATTCTAAGTCTATTCTTGTTTAAACAACTAAGAGGTGGAGTTTGACAAAGAGAGAGGATAAGTAACTTGACTACAATCACACAGTTACTAGCCTTCTGAGAGGCAGTAATTGGAAGTGAGGTAGGGTTAAGTTATGCCAGTCTAACAATTCGTATTATAGGCAATGGAGAGTTGTTCCTGTAAGTTTTGGAGCTGGAGGCTCTGTGAGGTTAATATGTAAGATAAGTAAGGAAAATATGCCTAATAAATAAGATTATGTAAGTTTTGAAATTAAAAAGCAGATATACCAAAGGTAAGGTTTTAAAGCCTTCTCAGGAATCTAGGAACCTGATAATTTGGTTGGATTACTTGAAAATAGAGAGGAGGAGTCACATTTAAGGGTTTAATAGGAAGAAAAAATAAATAGGAGTTGGTGATGGGCTATAAAGATTAAGAAGAAAACAGTCAGGTGTTTAGCATCTCCTATGAATATAGTAGGTATATTCACGATTTTATCCAGCCATTCAAATGACAGGGCAAAGAAACTGAAGTTAGAAAAGTTAAATAACTTTTCAAAACTCCTCACAGGAATAGTTAAGTAGTTGAGTCTCTCTGATAATGTATCTATTCCCCTGTCCATACCCTGAGCCAGGAACCCAGAGCCAGGTTTGAGTCTGAGTGACTGGAAGTGGCAGTATAGCCAAGGAAATAGGAACATAGAGAGGAAGTGCACCTTATAGGGGAAGGTAAATTCAGTTTTGTATGTAACCATTATCATTTCCAGTTGATGTCTTAAGTGGTGGCAAACCACAGGGAGTTAAAAATAAGGAAATAATGATTAGAAAGCCCTTAGGAAAGAATGAATTAAATTACCAGCACAGATAAGCTCTCAGGGAGGGGTTGTAATGATGGAATTTAGAAGATTGAAGAGCTGAACCATCTCAAACTTGTTGAATTAGGCAATAGGAAAGTAAAGATTTCTCTAAGC